TTTCCCGGGGTTGCTGCAACACCATCACCACAGACTCGGTGGCTCCAACCGACACCCACAATTCTCATGGAGTCAGAGGCCAGAAGTCCAACCTGTGACTCTCGGGACTAAGACCCGGGTTTCTGCAGGCCTGCATTCCTCCGGAGGCTCCGGGGAGGACCCACTTTCTTGTCTTGTCCAGCTTCCAGAGGCACCCGTGTTCCTTGGCACGTGGCCCCTCCTCCGTCTTCAAAGGGGAGTGCCGCCCTCTCAAGCCTCTCGGTCTCCCTCCTGCTCTGGTGGTGACGTCCTCTCCCAGACTCTGACCTTAAAGGACAGGAGCGATTATGCGGGGCCCACCCAGATGGTCCAGGATAACCTCCCATCTCAAGAGCCCTGACTAACTTAATCAATTTAAAGTCACTCTGCCTGGTGAGGTGACATACTCAGGGGTTTCGGGACTCAGCCTGTGGGTGTCCCTGAGGGCCATTACTCTGCTGATGACAATTTTTATGCACAATGAAAATGTAAAACACAGTGGCGTGGACTTTGCTGCGTGTAATTGGGTTACTAACGCTTTCTTAAACGGCCTCTCCCTCTCCCAGGGCATTGATATGCTCCTGCCAGAATCAGCTTCTGCAACCCACGAGTTCTGTCGCGGTAAACGTGGACAGTTCCTCTTGTTGAGCGCACCAAGTCCAACCAAGTCTGAGTGTCTGAGCCTACCCCCTACATTCAGCCTCATCCCACACACTCCTGGAGACACGGGCTGCCCTCCACACAGCTCCCCTGCTTGGCAGTTCCCTTTGGAAATGTCCTTTCTCTCACTCTGCGGGAGCATGCCTCAGCTCGCACTTCAGCTCACGGCCTCCTCGGCGGTGTCTCCTCCCCGAGGAAGTACCCTGGTCAGCACCGTGCCGTCCGCATGCTGATGGTCCCTTTGTCTCTGTGACTCTACAGCCCGGGTGTGCCCGAGGTTCCTAGAGACTGGGGACTGTGCCTCCCATCTGTCCTCGGCCCTCAGTGGCCTGCTCAGTACCAGCCCGTGAGATTGCTGATCCGTATCCAAGGGGTTAGAAAATTGGTCTTCATCCAACTGAAAATTTCAAGACCAACCTTGGTTCTTATTTGTTTGCAACTATTTAGAAAGTTCTGGTTGGCAGAATTCTGATTCAATAATGACCAGGTGATGAAATGTTTACTATGGCTTTACATAATGCAGTAAACATCTGTGTCTTACATAAAGATTTTTAGTTAAAAAAATAATGAGATTTTGCCGAGAAGTATCTGAAAGATGCACTGTTAGCTGCTTGTCATCTCTAATAGGACTGTTCGATGCTGGATGACACCTGTGGTCCCCTGGTGGATCCCCTGGGGCCGGCAAGCAGGGGAGTCCTGAGACCCTGGCTGGCGGATTCGTGAAAGAGTAGTGGGTGTTGGACTATGTCTCACCGTGGCCTCCACCACTGTGTCACAGACTGGGGCCCTCTCTGAGAATTTAGACCTAAAAGGGGAAATAAAAACTGAGTTCAAATCCTATGTAATATGGACTTGCCCCAGATCAGATAATTCCGTGAAGGGGGCCAGCTCAGATGGGGATTTCTTCTGTGCTGTGCTTTCTTGAAGGTGGCTGAATCCAGGCCACGTACCAGGGAGAAATTCACCAGAGGACGTGAATGCGTTCATAAGGTCTCTGTTTTGCTATCCGGAAAAGTGTGACGCTTCTCCTTGTTGCAATATTTTTGAATGCATTTATTGGTCTTGCATATACATAGTAGGTGAAGTAATTGCATTTTATTTTATATTTACATTTTATATTAAAAGTGTTGTGATTTAAAATCTCATAGGAAAAAACTTAAATTTAATAAGGGCCACGGGGTAGAAGTGAACATATAGATGCCCTTTATGTTGACATTTTTCTCACTCTTCGTTTCATGGGTATGCTCTCAAAACTGATTTTAAAAATAATTTTTTGTTTACCATATTTATTACCATATTTAGCATAATATTCACCATTACCAATATTTACCAGTTAAATACCCTTACCAATAAAAAATTACCATTACCAATATTTACCATAATAAAGAAATTTAAAGTCTGATCTATTACAATTAAGATTTTCTTTTTACCCAATCATTAAGTGCACAGAAGCAAGAGGGTCTGTGGGATTCGTAATAAAAATTATCAGTGCCTTACCCCTCCCCCCCGGACTTTTCCCTCCCCACAAGAAACCATTTTACTTTTTTTTTTTTTAAATCTCAGCTGTCACTGTTTTGGTATTTACGAAGCTGGTGTTGATGTTTTTGTCTCCCACCTTTTATTTTGAAATATTTCAAACCCATGGAGAAGATGAAGAAGAAGAAGAATGCATCCAGCGCCCGTGGAGCTTCACCGCATTCCATCCCCGCTCCTGGCTGGGCTGCGTGCTTTCTCTCCGCACACGTGCGTGCGGGTCCGTGCGGCACGTGGGAATCACCGAGGACTCCCTCGTGCCCCTAAGGACAAGGACTTTCTCCTCCATCACGCACACGAGCATCACCCCGGGGAAGCTCGAGCAGACACGGTTCAGTGCTCGAAGATGCCGCCCGTGTTCACCTTCCCAGGGCTTTCTCTCCTTCTCTGCCTTTATGTGTGATGGGGTCCAGGATCCATCTGACCCCGCATATCCCGCGCACTCCTCTGGTGTCCTTCTCTCCTTTACCTTAGGGCCTCCCACCACGTGGGCTCCTCTCCCTTTCCTTGCCCCCCATACCCACGGGCCTGTGGGTTCAGGGCGTTGGTTTGCAGAAACGCCCTCTGTGCAGATCTGTCTTATTCTTTCTTCATGACAAGTATAACATTTTGGGTTCCGTTTTCTACTAAGTTGGGAAATCCAAAGATATGTTCCTCACATCAACTACTCCTTTCTTTAAAAATAGGCGTTCTCTGTGTGTAGTACTTTTAATTTAATATTTAATCTCTATAATAATCTTTGTAATCATAAAGATAAAAATAATCTTTATAATCATAAAATATTTTGATATCAAATAAGCACAATTATGAAAAATACAGTTCAGTTCCTCTTTCAGTAGGACACCGCTGTGTTCAGTTAGAGACGTCGCACGAGTGATGGAGTAAGAAAGATTCACCAAGCGTAGGCAGGTCAGCAAGCCTTGTCCTACATAAACTTAGACCTACGTTTGTGTGGACCTTTGATGCTCATCATTAGAGAAATGGACTAAATTTGCAAGGCACCCGAGGGGTTCTGTTAACCTTGTGTGAGGGTTTTTCCGTAGCGGCTCTATGGTCAACAGTAGCTCGAAATCCCAGCCAGACCCCTAAAGCTCTGCAGACAGATGCTACCGAAGAAAAATAGCTCCGGCTGGGGACACATGCTCTGCCCCCACCCCTGTCCCCGTCCCTCTCTGTGATGCATCTGCTCCTCAGCAGGTGTCTGCTCCACATCGGACCCCTCACTGCTCCGCAGGCCGCGGGACTCGGAACAAGGAGATGCTCCCCTGGGGGCCATGCTGTTTCTCGGGCGTGAAAGCCTGGGTTGTTTGTTAAAAGGCTAGGTGATTTCACAAACCAATAAACAGTGAAATGAAAATGGGCATCAGTCCCTGTGGGTTAGGAGTGGCAGAAAGCCACAGACAGCTGTGGCCACAGGATCCAGGATGGAGAAGAAGTAAGACTTGGTCTCAGAGCGGGGCCGCCTGCTCCCGGGCCCCGGGCAGTCCTGGTCCCACACTGTGATCTCTCCGCCCAAGAACCTTCAGGGTTAAGGAGCCTGTTCCGGGCTTCCTGCTGGACGTCACGTGGCCGCCACTCACCTGGACAGGGGTGTCCCATTTGGGCCTCCCCAGGTGGAGCCTCCTCCCTGCCCTTGCTCTCGGCTGCGCACTCCGTTCACAATCTCCCTGCTCCTCTCGTGGATCTTCTGCAAAAACAGAGCAACACAAAATAGGATAAAGTACAGTGACAGCTGGCAATCGTTGGACAATTTTCCCTGTTCAGAAAAAACACGGTTACCGTGAAGAGCGTCCTTTACTCCCCCAGCTGCTTTTCAACAAGCAGATCTTCGGCGTACGGGACGCGCTCAGAACTGTGGGTCCGGCCAGTTTGTGTGTGTGCTGTCTCACTTCCTGGCTGGGAGGGCACTGCCTTTCCCCACGTTCAACTGTCACGGAGCATTGCCCAGAGGACGCGGTAAGCAGCGGGCCACTCAGGACATTCGGAGTCAGCTCCTTAAACCAAAGGAAACGTGGAGTTTCGAGTGCACTAAAATGTGCCACATCCTTCGGCACCACCTGCCCGGACTGAGTGGACACCTGGAAAACTGGCAAAAATAAATATTTGCCTTTCCGTGTCACCATCGTACAGTACAGCAACGCTGATAAAATCCGTTTTTGGGTTCTGTCTTGGGACACACATGTTCCCTTTATCCCCAGAAATCTCAAGTCTTACCACAATGATTCTGTGGTGGTTTTAGGAACTCAAAATAGTTGTAAATGTTTCACTAGAATGTGCAAGCGTCTGTGAATCTGTGCTAACGGAGGAGTGAGGGGCGCAGGCCATGCGGCGCACGAGCCCGTGCTGCTCTTCGAATGTCCCTCCATCGGCGCAGCGTCTGACATTTTACCATCCACATTCACGTAATTACCTTCGGCAAACGTGGGAGTAAACTTAGGTGTAGGGGGTCACAATCTCCATATTGCTTTGGTAATTCACGCATGTCCTCGTGCCCTCGGGCCCTGACCAGTGGCCTCAGCTGCACTTGCCCCAGGAGGAGAATCCAGGGCAGTCTCAGGGAAGACAGCGGCCTGGTCAATCCGTGCTGAGACCCTCGGTCAAGAGACAGAGTAGCTGAGACCCCCCCCCCCGACCCCGGGCAAGACACCTCGGCAGCTGAGGAGAGTCAGCCAAGCCTGGGGCACCACTAAGAGGAGGGCTCCCAGGTGCACCTGCTTCCAAGGTCGGGTGGGTGGGTCTGAGGGCACGCAGCCTCAGGATGTGGACAAAATTCTGGGCAGAGAGGACCCATGACACGGAGTCCTGTCACCACCCCAGCCGCTGCAGATAATGGCGAAAGACCCCCAAAGACCCTTGAAGTACAGAAAAACTTCAAGGTGCTCCAACTCCATGGGTTGAGGTGAGACCCACCTGGACACTCACGGGGTGGTCCTGGGGCCCTGGTGGGGTCAGGTAGACAGAAGCGGCCTTCCCCGGGCGGAGGGCGGGGAGGTCAGCTTGGGCTCCCCTCCCAGACAGAACACCATGTCCCACCCAAGCACCCCTCAGGGAGCACTCAGCATCTCACACAGCACCTACGTGTACATCGGGGAGACACAGGGAAGAGGCTGCAGCGTGAGAAACTTAACCAGAAAGTACTGACCACCACTCCTTGTTTGACCCAGAACATGTATGTGCACTGAGGGGGTAAATAGCTTCTGACCTCCAAAGAGAGCCGCCGAAGAGGAACAAGGCAGCCCCGGGGGGACTGGCCCCCTCTCTGGGTCGGGCACGTGGCCTCCTGGCCCCAGGTCTTGGGGCTTTCCTGGCCAAAGAGGTTGGCTTCTCCAGAAGTGGGCGGGCTGACCCTGGCAGGACCGAGGAGGGGTGGTGAGGAGGCCCGGACGCCCTCGTCAGACTGTTTCGTCGAACGTTCGGTCAGCACGCCGTGCCCTGTGCTTGCTGGGGATGGTTGGCCAAGGCAGCTTTGTGTGTGATGAAGTGGAGCCTGGCTGCCCCTTCGGTGTGTCTGCACCACAGGCTCCCAGGGCAGAGCCCACAGCACAGACCTGAGCGTGGCCGATGCGCGCCGGGACGGGGGCCGAAGGGCCGTGGCTGCGTTGGGTTCTACTCGTCGATGCAGTAGCGCCTGCTCTGAAGAGAACCACCGGGCTTTGTCTGCAAGCCCCAGCTGCCAACACCCCCCGAAATAGTGGCACAAGTCACTTCTCTATCAGTTTATCCTACTTTTTGGGGTTTTTTTTACTTCAAAGTTTGCTTGGAAATACGATAAGAAATTAGACCATCCTTGCACATTTGGGGCTGGGGTTGTTGGGGTGGACAACGACGTGCGGGCCCTCTCAGTTCGTCCCATGGTGTCACAGCTTCCCCTACGGCGCCCTCAGGGGTTTGGGACAAGTCCCAGCTTGGGTTTGCCCAGGCCTAGGGTCAAGGGCAGGTTGTAGAGTCACCCGTATTTAATTTAGATTCTATAGCTTTTTTTTTAAACCACAAACCCTCATATTGCTTTTTATTATTGTGTTTTTTGGTAGAATAAACTTATAAGAGAAAGATTTTCAGCTTTAATGCCTGTGGGCCCTGCTGCTGGGCTCCCAGGGGCGCTGTCCTTTAACGTTTCCCAAGGTCAGAACGACTCGACCAAACTTCAAAGCATGGGCTCTGTTTCTGCCCCGAGCACACATTGTACATCTATTTAGTGGACAAATAACCTTTAAAAAGAAAACATTTCAAATGGAAAGATAAGAGTAAAACCTCTTTTAAGTTCCCATGAGATCAGAGCCAGGCAGCCTTGCACATACGAAAGGCATAAAATAAAGTCTGTAACCTTCTGGAATGTTCTTCATCATGACGATTTGTAACGCTTCGGGTGAAAAAAACACATCTAACCCTGTATGAACTGTTCTTGCCCTGGCGCTCTCTGTCCTCTGTGAAGATGGTGTACCGTAGGCAGTTGTCCTCACTGGGGCTCACATAAAACTTTCTTTCTTCTAGAAGTTCTAACAGGCTTATTCAATTTGCGTTGACTAAACTCAAGTGATACTAACTGAGAAACTTTAGGCATTTGAAGTAGAATATGATGTGAAGTGTCTCCACTCTCCCAGAGGAAAAGCGTGGGAGGTCAGGCAACACACACAGAAGGGTCGTTACGTTGGGCCCAGAAAAGAGAGAGCCGCATAGCTCTGTGTCTGGAATCGATGCTCCTTCTCCATGGACGTAGGCTTGTGTCTGGCAGCCCCCCAACCTCCACTGTCCCCGGCCCCCACCTGGATCCTGCACGCACACCGGGGCTTCTCGGGAAGGTGCCTCATGTGTGAAGGCACAGGGCAAGTGCATTCCGTGCCTTTAGTTGACTATTTTATTGAAGAACATGCACAGAGGATCTACTGTTGTTAACGTTGTTCGGGAATTAAATATATTCATCACTCAAGTACCGACAATTCTTACCTCAAAACCACATATCCTGAGGCTAAGATCAGAAAGAACAAATGCTGTCAGGTGTTCTGCCTTTGAATTGGGGGAAGTATTTTGGGGCTGGCAGAGCCTACAGCACCTCACCAAGTCAGGTTTAGAGCAGGCAGGCGCTTTACACCATCTTGTATTTGAATAACTTGGGACCGCCCTACAAGTTTTGCCCCATCCATTCAAGATATCAATGCTTATTGCCTATTGCACACATGTCACTGGCAGAGCTGGTCAATGGACCTACGTCATGGCAGGTTCAGATAGGCCGAAACGTAATCGGACACCTCTGAGTCTACCATAAAGGCCTCTGTGCATCTGAAGGTTGCGAAGGATGGGGAGGGAGTCCGTGTGGACAGTGCGTCGCCGAGCTCTGGGGCTCCCCCAGCGCAGTGGGCTTCCTGGCCTCCCCAGCATGTACAGAGCGGCAGGTGCATCCAGAACCACTGAGCGAGGGCGTGTCAGGCCTCCAGGAGCTCCTCTGCACATCCTGCTTCATGTGGCTGGAGTTGCTCTGCAGGGGACTCTTCTTTCGGGCCAGGGGTCCCGGGGATCCCAGGGCTATACCACGGACAGCCTGGATATCAGACAGAGCACTGGGCACTTGGCCACCCCGGCCGACAAAGGCCAGTCCAGGAGAGCAGGGGCTGATTAGCAGCCATCCAGGGAGGAGCACCAGCAGGCCCCAGCGCAGCTGGACCCCCGTCCCACAGCACGGCAGTGGCCAGGAGATCCAGGGTCTTGCACGGTGTAGAAGCGTTTGTGGGCAGACTTCCTCGATGTGTGATTACTATGTCCACAGGATCATCGATGAGAAAGGACGGTTAACATGGAACACTGAACATTGATGCTCCCACTGCCTCATTGTCTTCATTATCACAAAATCCTGCAGTTAATTTAGATGGTGCCGCATTTTACAGTTGGTAGTTCTTCAAGAATATGCATTAAGAGAAATGAGTTCTTACTATATATCGTCTACTGAAAACTTGATATTAGGCACACTTTTTCTGGCCAGTTGGGAGGGGGTTTTGCCATTTCTAATTGCCCGTGTGGGTAGGTAATTTCCACGGACGACGAGCTTACTGTGTTTGGATCACGTGTTGGCAAGTACGTAATTACAACCTAAGCTTCTGAAGTCGTCGGGCCTCCTGGCGAGCTGGGGAGCATGGAAGGGCATGCCCCTTTAAGGCAGGGAGTCCGTTAGAACCAGATGGGGTGGGGGACACAGTGAAGGACTGCAGCTGGGGGGCCGCTGCTCACTGGTGGGCTGAAGGGTGAGGAATCGAGGACCTGGCGTGACGCCCCTATGTCAGAGAAGTGGGGGAGAAGGGCCTCCTCCTTCAGGGTGATGAAGTCAAGCCGACTTCCCAGTGAGACCTCAGGACGACTCACCTGAGGACTGAATGGCCGAAATACCAGGTTATTCACTAGTCTTTCCTCTTGGGACCTCTGATTGTCTTTCGTCAAGAGATACAGGCTTTGGACCACGCCGCTGTGGTCACATTGCTCATCCTCGCGAGTCTGAAGTGCGTGAGCAGGTGCATTCCACTCATGCGCAGGGGCCGTGTTGTTATAATCAGAGGTGTCTTCCCAAGTCCACCCCCCTCCCCAGAGTTGTCAGTGTGCCAGAAAGTCTTTGATTTGCTTCTGGGTCAGACCTCAACCTTGTTTCAGTAAAGACCCTGTCCCCCTCACGTGCAGAGGAAGAGGAAATCCGCGAGTCTCCTGGCACGGGTGGAGAAGCCACTCCCCGGCCTGTGTCTCCGGGTTCAAAGCCACGAGCCGGAGCAAGAGCAGGAAAATGGGCGCTTCTGTAGATGTTCGGGGAGGTGTCAGGAGCACAGTGGGGGCAGCTTCCGGCCTCTCTGGGAGCCAGGCCTGCAGGGCAGCCTCCCCAGTGGCCCCACTCCACCCCTGGAGCTGTTGGGAAAGCGGTATTTTCAGCACAGGACATGGGTCTGTTTGGGATTTTTTTTGGGGGTGGGGGGGCGGGCTGGGGACTGCTCAGCAAGGCCGGGTGAAGGAGCTGGGTCCCCAGGTTTCCCAGTGAGACAACCCTGATCACATTGGCCACAGCGCTGGGGCCCCATTTTCTAGGAGTTAAAGAGGTTTCTCTCGGTTGCCAAGGAGAAGCCATGTGTGGCCTGGTCAGGCCCCTGTGTCTGTGGCTCCTGGCCCTGAGATGACCTTTTCCTGGGGTCAGTTTTGTCACTGTAGGGACAGAGGCCTGTGACAAAGAGCTGTCTCTCGGGCTCCCTTCACGGTGGAGGGTGGGGGGCCCAGGCCGCTCCCGATGGCCTCCTTCTTCCCCAGCAGGATGCTGACTGCCGAGGAGCCCATGGAGCCTGCAGAGACCGGCTGCCCGGAGGAGGGCGGTGGGCCTGGGGCTGACCCCGAGGACATAGCCGTGCTTTCCGGGGAGGACGGCCGGGCTGAGCAGATGCTGGTGAGCGGCCCTGCTGGGGACCGGGAGGGGCTTGTCCCTAAGTCTCACCTGCTGCGGTCCGCATCCTGTGCCTGAGACTGGCATTGAGACTCCCCCGCTTCCTCCTCTGGCCAGATGCTTTAGCATGGATACTGATGCTTGTCTGCCCTCTAGGGGGGCATACGGTTCTTCTCCTTCTGCAGCTCTGTGTCTTGGTAGATGAGAGACAGGCTGGGGAGTGTAAGGAGACTTGAGGATCTCGGCCAACTTCCCTAATCCAAGAGAAGGCGCGAGACTGGGCGAACTTGGTTGGAGGAAAATTAGAAGGTGCACGTGGCTTCAGTCGTGAGGCCAGAGTTCTGGAGTGTGCCCTCAACCTCCTCACCCAACCCTGGAGGGCAGGGTCCACTTCTCTCCACCCGGCTTCCATGAAAGCCCCCACATGTCCCCCTCCCTGGGTGCCACGTGTCCAGCAGCCACGGCCACGCAGTGCAAGACCCTACCTCCCATCACAACCCCACTGACCCTGGAAACACAGCGTCAGATGAAGGGTCCCACGGGAAAGCTGGTCCCCTGGCTTTAAAGTGCTGTGGCTTCAGCTAATTTCCGAACGGTTGACAAAATAGTCCATTTCAAAGGCACACAGGTTTTTCTTGTGTTTCTGGGAATTCAGAGGTATTCGGTGCAGGAGCACTGGCAGTAACTGGATTTTCTGAGCGCCAGACCCACCCTGAGCCTGTGAGGTGGATCCTCAGGAATCTGCAAGGGCTGTTATGATTCCACAGTGATAATAAAGACAAAGCATGTTGGCAAAGCAGCACAGAGCAGATGCGGCCCCACGTCTCGGGTTATTTGACTCCCCAGGGCAGCTGAGGAGCTCAGAGGCTCGTGGGGACACAGACACATGAATGAGTGAACAGAGCCTCAACACAGTCTCAGGCTGACCCCAGCAAGGGTGAAGGCCCTGTGTGACCCCACAACGCCGCGTGGTGGGGGACAGAGGACAGTTTCTATTCAGCTGGAAACGCTGGCCCAGGGAGTTAGGCGGCATTTCAGAGGGTCTCCTCAAATAGGATCCAGATTCAGGCTGTGGACAGTGTAAAGCTCTTTCCAAAGCACGGATCACGATTGCCCGGGAAGCGTGGGGTGGGGGTCTTGTGATGACTGCAAGCAACACTGTCTCAGCGGGAGCCGGAAACCCTTCCTAGGGGGTGCTGCTCCAGCCCTGAGCCCCGAGCCGGGGTCACCTCCGTCCCCGACGCCTCACCAGCAGTGCACATCCAGCCCCTCTGTGACCTCGGAGCCCGAGATGCCCCTGGCCCTTCTCCTGCTACTTCCTGCCCCTCGCCCAAGGTCAGCTTCGTCTGCCCTTGGGAGGCATCAGTGGGCAGCACACCAGTCCCTGCTCTTGGGGACCCTATATGGTTCTATCGACGGCAGACAGAATGTGAATGAACACCGTAAACAGTGATTCACAGACCACACCAGAGAGTGACAAACGCTTTCCCAGAAGCGGGAGGGAAACACCAGCTCTGGAGTTGACCTCTCTGTGTGAATTTAGAGTCCTCGGCCTGTGAGTCTGTGACTTGGGGCTGCTGACCGACCTGCAGGGCCTCCGTTCGCTAGGAGGAGAGCACTTCCCTCAAAGCCTGGTTTCAGAATTACGTCAGGGAACTTGGGAAGCCGGCACCAGTGTTTCTCACACGGCAGATGCTGAGTACGCAGTGTTCTCATGGGGCTGATGCAGCCGGGCCGTGAGTGTGCAAGACGCTCTTGCACCTTCCCGGGGCAAGCATCAGAGCAGCGCTCCTGGCCCCAAGCCCTGCCGCACGTGTGTCCGCCTGTTGGGGGCTGGGGGTCTGCCCCCCCCCCCCCGTGCCCGGGCCGCACCAGATGGCCGGGGAGCCCCCTCCAGACGGCCTGGTCGCGCCGCTTTGCGCTGGAGGCTCACCGCCCTCCCCCTCCTGGCCTCTGCCCTGCGTCTCCACCCCAAGGCCCGAGTGCAGACTCCCGGTGGGAAAGTGACCAACATGGGTCCCAGGTCCCTGGGACTGTGCCAGTCTTCACAAAGTGGGCATTATTAAGATAATTCCTGGGGGAGGATATGAATTTAATTAAAAATGAAAATGCAGCTTCTTTCCCACTGTTGGTAGAGTAAACAGAATAATGCAGTCACTAATTTCTTCTCATAAATTGTGGTATTTTCAATTTTAATCATAAATTTGCAATGTGTTTCTAATTATTTTTCAGAGACAATCTCTGTGAGAAGAAAATGCTTTTTTTTTTTAAAAGATTTTATCTATTTATTTGACAGAAGAAGAACACAGGCAGGGGGAGCAAGAGAGGGAGAAGCAGGCTTCCCACTGAGCAGGGAGCCTGCTGCGGGGCTCGATCCCAGGACCCTGGGATCACGACCTGAGCCGAAGGCAGACGCTTAACCGACTGAGCCGCCCAGGCGCCCCATTTTTTTTAGTTTTAGTCTCATTTTCTTTATTGTAAGGTTTTCTGCTAAATCGTTTCTCACATAGGCAGATGGACACCTTCCTTCCCAAACACAACCTGGATACTTACATACAAAGATTTCCTTTGTTTGGCCCAATAGCCAGTTTCTCTTTTATGTGAACGTCTGTTGGGTGCTCTAAGATGAAAGCCTGTGTGACGCTACAGTGGACGCAGTGAATACAGAGCGACAGCCAGCCCTGGCTCTGAGTCTCCCGTCCTCTGTTCTGGGAGCCCCACACTCGGCGCAGGTCGCAGCTCTCAAAATAACCGCCTGAGGTCATTCTGGCATCATTTTGGAGAAGAAACGGAGGCCCAGGGAGGTGAGGTGCCTCACCTGAGGTCACACGGGGGCAGTGGTGAAGCCAGGATGATATCCTCTGTCCGAATCAAACGCCGGCTCTCAACTCCCTGGCCTGCTGCCCCCTCAGGGTAAGATTAGGAACGAGATGACAGTTCTCAGCCCCTTTTTGCAAACAAAGTAATTCACAAACCATCTTTACAGCTTATATTATGCGGAGTCGCTCCTAAGGGGTGCTGCTCGATAAAAGTGGATCGGGGGTCACAGTCGTATTTATGTCCTCAGCTGTTGGGGGCCCCGACCCCCTCTCAGAAATGCCGGGTCTCCCGTGGCAACGGGCTGGAGGGTGCTGCGGGAGAGGCTCGTGAGCCGGCGGAGCGGCGCCATCTGAGAGCTTGTCTGTCCTTCTCTCCCCCACCCCGTGCCCTCTGTGCCCCCCGGAACCAGCGGCTGCAGCAGCAGGTGACCCGGCTGCACGAGGCGTTCAGGAGCCAGGAGTCCCGGTGGGCCGCGGCTCAGCGCCAGCTCCAGAGCCAGATAGACGCTCTCGCGCGACAGAACCAGGAGCTCCGGGATGGACTGAAGGCCCTGGGGCCGCTGCGGCTGGGAGCCAGGGAGGCCGACTCAGCGGCCCTGGGCACCAGAAGGAAGCCGGACGCTCTGGTATAGAAGGCTTTCTCGCTTTCCCTAGAGGTGGCGCCACAGTAACGGTGGGTGCGGGGTCAGTGGCACGGGCGGCGACGCTCGCCCTCTTGTCTGCGAACCCACTGCACTCCCATAAGTGGGGGCTCACAAGCTCAGGCGCCCCAGCACCGGCCTGCTCCCCACGGGCACCCGATACCCCGTTCGGGCAGCCGCCAGGGCTTCCCGGGGACCGGGCGCGGGCCAGGTTTGCCCGCACATCCCTGTTTGCCCAGGGCAGTGACCCCGGTGCTAACCCCATGGACGGTAATGCGGCTGGTGACCCCGAGCGCCTGGATTTGGGGGCCCCTGCTCTCTGATGCCAGGGCCCGTGCACCGAACCCCAGGGCCGCTCTGCTCACGCACCGGGGCGGCTGGGTGGGGACGAGATCCGACCACCCTGCCCCACCTCAGAGAGTCTGTATTTAGGAACCAAGCAGCAGGACGACTGGCTGCCACGTCTGCGTTGTGGGGCGGGCCGCAGGGCCGGGGGGCCGTGCTGGAGAAGCTGTGGCCGGGGCACCGCCGCCTCATCTGGCCTCTAGGTCCTGAGTGTGTGCGTCTGAGCAACTCAGATCAGCACAGCTTTGTGCACAGGGGTCAACAGGAAACCATGAAATCTCGGCAAAATCTAAGTGGGCTATTTTCTAGTGGATTCGGGAAAGTCCTAATAATTCTTATCTGCACTTATTGTGTGAACTTTTAAGTCTATAGTTCAAGGAGTTAGGATATTTCAGCTATGACACAATGGTTCACACACACACACACACACACACACACAACACTCATTCTGAGCTCACGTGCTGATGAATTTCCAATCATCCGTTGACTCTGCGCACAGCGCTGGTCACAGGGTGGTGGCGTTATTTACAAGGATAGCATCTGCTCTAAAAGGGTACACAAGATTTGAAGAACACGGGGTGGCTACACACCCTCACGTCAGGTACGCACAGGCACCTCGGCATGCGGACGCCATTGTAGGGACAGGGTATCACACAGCCAGAGACACACGAGAGCAAGACTGAGCATCAGCCGCTCTGCACACGGGACGAAAGGCGGTCCCAGTCCTCTCCCCTCTCCACGGTCCGTCCTCCCGCCCGAGGGCTGAGCGATGAACAACAAAGTCCCGCACCCCAACTGCAACGATCACGCTGTTTCCACAGTTTGCTTCAGAGCGGGCAAGCTTGAGATTTTGCATTTCAAATCTTTGATAAATTGTGAGAGACAACACTAAAAATAGGGTCACATTTTCTTCTTTCTTTAATACTTTCCCAGTTGCAGACACATAATCTAAGGAAATAAATGTGGGTGTTATTTATTTTGTTGCCTTTGGGAGCCTGGGGTATTTTGAAATAGTGACCAACCATGAGAATCAACCCACATTTGGGATGCGCTGTGAGCATCCTCAACAGGTTGCAGGGAGAAGCCAGCCTGCGATCCCTATTTGTTCCTAGCACATTGCAATTGTTGTTGACTGGTTACACTTTGAATTTATCTTATAGTTACTGTAACTTCGAAGATATGGACATTTCCTCTGAATTTTCTTTGTGATAAATTGCCTTTTAGGTGTCGCAATCTGCTTTTGGGAAAACGTTACCACTGTCAACTGATGAAGAAATATTAGTGAAACACGCAGGCCGCAGAAGTCGTAGTGCTACTGTCATAGGACAAGGACAGTCATCTAAACATCTCCCTTCTTCCCAGGTGACCCTCAGTGTTTATGACCTTTAAAAGGAAGCAGAGATCCAGCACCCAAACTCATGTATCCCACCAGCATCTCACTGAGAAATCCTGCCTCTCTCCGAATGAGCAATCCTTACTATCCGTCCTCGCACACTCAGGGATCCAGTCCTTGCACACTCAGGGACCCAGTCCTTGCACACTCAGGGATCCAGGCCTTGAAAACTCAGGGATCCAGGCCTTGAAAACTCAGGGTTCTAATCCTTGCAAACTTAGGGGTCCACACCTTGCAAACTCAGGGATCCAGGCCTTGCAAACTCAGGGATCCAGACCTTGCAAACTCAGGGATCCAGGCCTTGAAAACTCAGGGTTTTAATCCTTGCAAACTTAGGGATCCAGTCCTTGCAAACTTAGGGATCCAGTCCTTGCAAACTTAGGGATCCAGTCCTTGCAAAACAGGGTTCTAATCCTTGCAAACTCAAGGATCCAGACCTTGCAAACTCAGGGATCCAGTCCTTGCGAACTCAGGGGTCCAGTCTGGCAGGTGGTATCCTCAGCATACTCACCACAGAGAGTCTGGCAGGGAGCTGAGCTCAGGTCAGGGCTGGCACCCAGGGCTGTGTGCTTTCTTTCCATTCATGCAGCCTAAAGCAGGGATTTTTTTTTATTATTATTATTAGTTTCAGAGGTAGAATTTAGTGATTCATCAGTTGCATACAACACCCTGTGCTCATTACATCATGTGCCCTCCTTCATGCCCATCCCCCAGTTTACCCATCCCCCCACCTGCCTCCCCTCCAGCGACCCTCAGTTTGTTTCCTATGATTAAGAGCCTCTTATGGTTTATCTCCCTCTCTGATTTCTTGTTTTATTTTTCCTTCCCTTCCCCTTTGTTCGTTCATCTATTTTGTTTCTTAAATTCCACACATGAGTGAGAGCATATGATAATTCTCTTTCTCTGATTGACTTATTTCGCTTAGCATAATACCCTCTAGTTCCATCCATGTCATTGCAAATGGCAAGATTTCAATTTTCTGATGGCTGAGTAGTATTTCACTGTATATATGGGCCACCTCTTCTTTATCCATTCATCTGTTGAAGGACATCTTGGCTCTTCCCCCAGTTTGGCTATTGTGGACATTGCTGCTACATTTGTATCTTTGGGGTAAATACCCAGTAGTGCATTTGCTGGGCTGTAGGGTTGTTCTATTTTTAACTTTCTGAGGAACCTCCACACTGTTTTCCAGAGCGGCTGCACCAGCTTGCATTCCCACCAACGGTGTAGGAGGGTTCCCCTTTCTCTGCGTCCTCACCCACATCTCTCATTTCCTGACTTGTTAATTTTAGCCATTCTGACTGGTGTGAGGGGTTATCTCACTGTGGTTTTGATTTGCATTTTCCTGCTGATGAGTGATGTTGAACATTTTTTCATGTGTCTGCTGGCCATCTGGATGTCTTCTTTGGAGAAATGTCTGTTCATGTCTTCTGCCCATTTCTTGACTGGATTTTTTGTTTTTTTGGGTGTTGAGTTTGATGAGGCAGGGATTTTAAGTAGCACATCTTTTCATGTCCTTTGGCTCTTGTGTCCCATGGCTTTAAAGCCGTGGTGTTTGCTCGGGTCACTGCTGTGGCTTGTCTTGCTGTTTCCACATGGCTTTGTTTTGGGGCCACAGTGTAGGATGTTGTTTGATCTCTATGGCATTTCCTTGTTCAGGTGAGCTCCTCTTTAGCATATATTGGCAGCCAGCATGCTGGTCACCACCCCAGCTTTGCATCTTCCTCATACTTGGGAAGCCCCTCTCTGTCCTCAACCGGCATTGGGTAACAGGGTTAACGTGGACCGAGAAGACCCCCAACTCATCAAGACGACCTAATGTCCTGACATCCTTTCCCGACGCGACTGCTGAACGGACAGTATTTCACTCCTAGAAGGAGGGTCTGGAATCTGCTCTAACCCAAGTATTTATTGCAAGTGGGAAAAGCTACTTTTTGGATCATGCGAGCAGAGATTCTGAAGTCCCAGGATGAACCGCATGACCCCCTGTCCTCTGAGATGCAACCTTGTCCTCTGTTCCCACATTGACCTGAATTAGTGACATGTACGCAGTATAATCGCTTCGTAAGTGAATGCATGAGTGAATGCGACCCTGGCTATGCCATATCTCAAAACCATCAATTTTTGAATCCTGCAAAGGGTAGAAAAATTCTTCTTATACATTTTCAAATTCGGTTTTGGGCTATTTATTTTGTTGTGATGGACAACCTTTTCTACGGGATCAATCATAACTTTCCTGAAATCCCACAAGAGCATGGGCTTCCAAGTGAGAAATGGGACACCCCCAATGGGACATCCTTCTGCTTTGTAGGATGTCAGAACACAGCTGTACTGACCCAGCTTCTGTCATAGCCAGCACGATGTGTTTACTGATACTTTTGGGTAAAGTGGCTGTTGTTAATGTGAAAGCACCCCACATTTGTTTCCAGCCAGTGAGGATGAAGATAGAAAGAACCGAGTCAGGGGAAACAAGATCATGTGAAGATGGAGATGAAACTCTTTCTGGAAGTCTTCAGGACAGAGGTGCAATGCCTCCCTTCAAGGGCATGCCCTCTGAGGAGAGCCCAGCTGCGTTTGTGGGTGGACAGGTGACACTGAGACAACCGTGCTAATTCATACTGGCGCTATCTGTACCCTTTGCATTTCAGGAACATTCCACTTAGATCTGACAAGAACACTCAATCTGTGACTCAAAATAGTTTCGTTTATTTACAGTAACTGTATGGCCATAGATTAAAGGGGTTTCTTTCGATTAGTCTTAATGCTAGAGAAGCAAACTAATTGAGCTGATGGCCGTTTGCTCTGCCATGTTCTGTGTATTTCTGCATTTGAGAAAAGTGACTTACCTGGTGGTGCCGAACGCAGTGCTTTTGCTCTAGTCCTGGGATGTTGCTGGGAAACGTTGACAGTTGATAATGGCTTTGTGCAGCATGCAGCTTTTGATCTGAAGTCACAGGCTGAGGTTTTGTGACTGTCGTTGCTCCAGGCCACACGCCGGTCCTCCGGAAGACTGCAAGAACCGAGTAGCCTAAACCCGCCAGAGCCCGCCGCGGGTGTTGTCAGGCTCAAGGAGGACCGCCCAGCAGCTGAGGAAAATGGTGAGCACCTCACGGGGAGTTTCCTTCCTATTTGCTGCTTGCTTGAAGGTGTGAGCTTCTATTACCTGTGCCCACCCAGAATCTTACCATGGCAAGTGCACTCAGCGTCCTCCTTTTTGAGTGTCTTTTCTGATTCCCTTGCTGGGTCCTCGTCTGTGTGTCTTTGCCAACACTCCCCAAACCCCAGTGAACGCCCACCCCGAGCTGGTTCCCAGAGGGTTGGCATCAGCCTTTGCCTTTTCTCTTGGGCAGGCTCGCCTGCCTGCACCTTCTTGATGCTGCTTTCTGGGACTCCTGGAGGCAGATGGCAGCCCCCCTACCAAGACTCTGCCGCCCAGCAAACCCATTATCATGCAGATAAGGTCTCCAGTTCCTCTCTGGGCCAGAAGCAGCTGAAAGGCAGAGACAGCATCTTCCCATCTTCATCTCCTGAACTTAACACTTGAAATAGAGTGACATCCAGTAAATATTTATTGAATATATTCATCGGATAGTTCATGTTTCTTACAAGATCAAATGTCACTTGTTGCTGACCGACCCTATATTTGGGTGACTGACCCTCTATTTGTAAAGTAATCTCATGAAAAAAGAGAAAGTGTTCACTGTTGGTTTAAATCGGACTTAGAAATTGCGTTAGGAGAGGCGCCTGGGTGGCTCAGTTGTTAAGCATCTGCCTTTGGCTCAGATCATGATCCCGGGGTCCTGGGATCAAGCCCCACATCGGGCTCCCTGCTCGGCGGGAAGCCTGCTTCTCCCTCTCCCACTCCCCCCGCTTGTGTTCCCTCTCTCTCTGTGTCTCTATCTATCAAAAAAATAAACAAAATCTTTAGAAAAATAAAAAAAAGAAATTGCATTAGGATAATAGAATTTTTAAGATGTGTGTACGCTGTCCTTTAAAACTCAATTTCTTTGCTTTTTCAGGCATGCGTTCACAGCCTTGCATGGGTCCTGAGGGCAGGCTTCTCAACCCAGAGCAGACTGATGGGTCTGCCCACTCCCTGCTGGGCACTGCCAAGCCACAGGTGGGTGGGGTTGAGGCCTGCAGCAGCCTCCTAGGACTGAGACTCTCGTGCCCGCCCATCTCCTTGGGAAGAACAGAGCACTAACCTGCTTCCAAATGCCCCTACTTTCTGGGGATGGTCAGCCTTCCCAATAAGAAGCAACATTTTCCCCCTAGATTCTGAAGTTGCATTTAGTACTTAGTCAAAACAAGATTGATATTTTTATATTACTGAAGAGTTCCCAAATCAAACTTTTATATCATTTTTATTTATAATGTTTCATTAAAATTAATAGAACCAAAGGCACATATAGCAAAAATACTTTTAAGCCCTAGCTAGTGGTCCACTTATTATGTGTTATATTTAATAACAAATATCAAAGAAATGAAATAATTTTCTCCATGGGAGAAAATCTGGGATGTAAACTTATTTATGATGTAAAAGTAGGCAACCAGTGGGAAAATGTGAAAATACAGGTCCTATGTATCTCGCGTTCTCCCAAGAGAAGCCCGGATCTGTTTTGCCCTTTCCAACATTATGCGTGGGGTGCTGAGTGGTAACATTTTCCTCTGGGCTTTGTTTTATTTGGAATTGGGCTGTCGTGGCTACTGAACGCACCCCCTACCTCAGTGTCTCAGAACGTGAGTGTGCAAGCTCTCGGGGTGCTTTCCCTACCAGCGCACGACTTCGTGAGGCGCACTGTTGTCCCCACGAGCATCCTGGCCTAGGTCTGACTAACGAGGAGGCGGGGGACATAAACCGTCACAGGGACATGCAGTGCGGCCCGACGTGCGCCCATTGCCGCCCTGCGCGGACCCATTGGGCAGGGCTGTGGGATGTTGGGGTGACCAGCTTCCTCCAGCCCAGGGCCGCAGATTGCATGGAGACCTCGTGGGACCAGGGTTGTTCTCTTCCTGCAGAATCCTCCTGTAGATCCAGGACCTTCCCACATGGACCCCGAGATAAAGCAGGGGGACAAAGAAGAAGAAACGCGGTCCCCGGCCGGTGAGGTAGGCAGATGCCCCTGTTTCCTAGGCTGGGCTCCTGTGTGATTTGCACCTGTGCTCTGTGCAGGTGCCCGCGGGCTCGGACCCAGGGGCCAGGCAAGCAGCCCTGGGAGGGGACAAATGTAGCGTCCTTGGCTGCCAGTTATTTCTAGTAGATAAAGCCACACACGTCCCAACAGGAAAAACATGTTTTAAACCCGATTTGCCTCTTACTGCCTTAGGTCTGTCCCGGCCTCCACATTTTAGCTTTCGAGGAGCCCTCGGGTCCTGAAGGGTGCACCCCGGGTGGTGGCTCTCTCAGGAAGCCGCGCAGAAGGTGCGTGTTGCAGGCAGAGCACCTGGTGTCTCCTATGCACTCGGGGACACAGCGGCAGCATCACTCGCAAGACAGAGCCTGGCTTCATAGCCATCTTTTTAAAGATTTATTGATTTATTGATTTGAGGGGCGAGGGGCAGAGGGAGAATCTTGAGCAGGCTCCATGCTCCGTGTGGAGCCCAACGTGGGGCTCAATCTCACGACCCTGAGATCACGACCTGAGCCGAAATCAAGAGTTGGGCACTAACCGACTGAGCCACCCAGGTGCCCCTTAATGTGGACCATTTAAAACATCACTTGTGCTTTTTCATTTCTGAGAAGTAATTGTGTCTTCAAACCTCATCAGAGTTTTTATTGTGGGTTAAGCAGTTAATCTTCTAGGACTGAATTGAACACAACCTCGCTTCACTTATCTGGTTGGTTTGGGACTGGGGCAAACGGGGTCTTGGTTCAAACCCCAAACTGATGGTTGTTGCATCATGAGCGGGTGGTATACACCGTTGACTTTTGCTTGATGGATCGCCAAAGTGGCTTTGAGAAGCCCGGCTTTAGCTACTAGTTCCTTCATCTTTTCTCAGTTGAATTAACTCCTGCATTCCTGAGCGAGGGTCAAGAGTAACAAGGTCACATGGTAATTAATAACAGCACATTTTACCATTTGGATTTTTCAGGTGTACAGATATTAACTCCCCAGAGCTTGAGCTTCCTTCTGTCAGTTTTTTTCCTTTCTGCTAATATTTACATGAATAATATTTTCAAAACTCCTAAGTTCAGCATTATGCCTCTGAACGTACACACTGTTTTGCCGACAGTTAATGGAAATCAGTGAATCTTCAGGTCAGGGTGAGTGGTAATGGGAATCAAAACAAAAGGATGTAAAGGAAAGAAAAGTGTACAAATAGTAATTTTTATATAGTAATGACTGCAGTTTATATAGTCCAGGATTCCCAAACTCACCAAATTCAATGACATTGGATTATCTAGACTCACAACTAATAACTTGATAACATACGAAGGTTTGCAAAACATGAGCTTAAGAGAAACAGACGTTTGAGGGCAAATCATAAAACATCCATTATTCACAATGAGATTCAGGGATGAGGTGAGGTTTGGGGCTGACTGATTTAGTGAATATTTCTGGAGATACAACACTTGCTTCCAACGGTGCTGTGCAGGCAATAGACAGAAGGATTCTGAATGGAGGAAGAATAATGAAACCATGAGAAGCACGCTTTAAGTCATCTTTCACGTCGGAACTTTTGTGTTTCCATGAAGGTGGCTCAGGCACTTGGTGACGGCCGTGAAGCCATCACCTTTTCGAAGGGCACCGGCAAGGACAGGGGGGCCGGCAAGAAGACCACCATCCTGCGGTTTTTAAACGGGGACATGAAGAAGATCCTGCCAGATCAGAGAGTGGTGAGTACAGCCTCCACACTTGCCTTTTTTTTTTTTTTTTTTAATCAAGACCAATCCAGCTATTGGGAAGATTTTTGTCCATCTGGGCCCTTCTTCCCCTGGGGGCTCAAGGATGAGGGCCTCTGGCCAGTTGGGTGGTTTTGGTTACTAGATGCACTTGGGCAGTGAGATTCGTAATCGACGGAGCCCCCGATTTCCATGTTACAGTGAGAACAAGAGCTAGCACCCTGCTGAATGAGAATGCTCGCTCAACCGTTTAGAGACCATTAGCCTCGCTAAGCCTCTGTAATGCAAGACTAGGGTTGGGACCTAACTCAAAGATGGTGCAGAGACTAATGCACACAGCGCACGTTACGCCCAGCCTCCGCAATCTCTAGGGACGCACAGTAAACCCTCAGTAACTGTGCATTAATTATAGGATGAGCAGTAGCATCAAAACCTAGTCAGTCAGGAGCTCGTCCCTAGTGCAAGCTGGGGATCGGATGGATCAGATGGAAGGAGACGTGGCTTTCTTTCCTGTCGGGGGACTTTCACAGCCCAGTGGGAAATAGCTATTTCCTGGTTCTTCAGATGCAGAAACTGAGGCTTTATGAGCTTAGTTCATTTGCTCCTGTTTGTACACGTGGTCCCTGGGAGTCGACCAGGTCCCAGATGCCTGTGGCCCATGCTTCCTGCTTGCCCAGCACTGGTGGTGAGACAGGGAGACAGGCCAGGGCTATTTTACAGGTTCGTGATTCTCAGCTGGGGGCAATTTTGCCCCCCTGGACCATCTGCAATGTCGGGAGAATTTTGGATGGTCACAGCCGGCTGTGGTAGGGGCGCTACCGCCATCTAGTTGGCGGAGGCCAGGGCTGCGTAGGATGCCCCCCATAACAAAGAACAATGGGGTCCAAATTGTCAATTATGTTGAGGCGGGGAAAACCCCCCAGAGTTCATCACAGGGACTACATTTAGAGCACTCAGTATTGCTCCGTACGTATGAAGTACTCAGTAACTGAGAGCGGTCAAGTCTCTGGCGGTAACTGCTGAGGGCAGGCAGTACAGGTGTGAATGTGAGCCCCACAGGACGGTGGACAGAGGGCCCCTGGATGCTGGGGGGTCCGGACGCGTTTGTGACCCCAGGACATGCTGCGTGTCCGCGTGACGTTAGGCTGTTAGATACGGGCAAAATAGATGCTGCAACATTTGGAGCATTTACAGGCACGACTGCTGGAGAGGAGTAGTCCGGATAATTCAGGATTTAACGTGATTCTGAAAATTTGGTTGATTTACAAAGAATCATTGAAAATGAGCCCTGGAGATAGGATAGCTTTTAGTAGATTGATAATAGTCTTTTTAGTGCAGAAACATTACCAAATTGTATTCTTTACAAACTGTACTCATTTCTTTAAAAAAGTCCTTTTTTAGAATAATCAACTTCATTGTTTTGTTTGTGGTTTTGTTTTGTTTTACCAAGCTTTGGGATGAGAATTCAGAGGTTCAGGTCCCTGGGGGTTCTGAATGACCCACTTGTGAGGGCAGCTGTTAGAATCCTGGTGCAGATGCAGCCCCCGCATCACTGGCCCCAGGTAAAACCCCATGCGCCCTTGTCTGCAAGGCAGCAGAAACACAGAGAGTCCAGAAGACCCCATGTACACAGTGGACTGTTATTATGTCACCGTCCAATTGAGTCATACTGAGCTCATCGCCTACTTCAGTACTTTAGATTCTGAGCCCGGAGTCTCCTGAAGTTGTTTCTTAGCCAGAGCCCCACTGCTGTCCTTGGAAGGGAAGGCTCCGCATCTTGGTCCTTGGCACGGTCCCAGGGCAATCACGGTGGCTTGCGGAAGCGTGGTGAGGTGGGGCTCCTGCTGAGTGAGTGGGCCGTGTTCTTCTCCACCGCGGGCTCTTTGGTCTCGAGGGAAAACTGAGCCCCGGGCCTGGGGTTGCACCTAAAATCGCTCTAATGATAGAGAAATAAGCACTCTCCATTGTGTCTCACTTTTGGACAAATTATGCACACAGGAAGAAAGCCTCTGGAACAAGAGGGTGGGCCAGTCCCTCGGCCCTCAGCGCGGTGCTTTATCAGACACGTCCCCGCATGTGGTCACTGTGCCTCCTTTCCTGATAGGCAGGTGGCGTTGTCCTTGTAGGTGACCCATATGAGGTGACCGGGGCCACACCCTCCAAACTAGGAGTTGAGTGAAATGTCTGCCTTCCAAGTTCTCACTTTGAAAACATTAGCATGAAAGATTTTTGTCTCCTTGCCCTTCTGTTTAAAGTCTCCCCCCACCTGTACTGTTCAGGGCTGCTCAGCTTAGCCAAGAGGAACGCGTCCTCCTTCCCCATAACCACCCTTGTCCACAACTGCTCCTTCCCACACTCCTTCTCTACTTCGTTGGAGACCGAAGGGGTCACACTGATTTGAAACTTGACGATCCGGTGACCAGGTCCAGAGGCAGGGCTTCGTGAGTGTCTGAAGGATGCAGGAGCTTGTCTGTGTTATCTCGAGCTGCTGGTGGACACTTGGTGTGAGCTGGGCGGTTCGTGGTTGTGGAGCCCATGGCTTGTGCTCACCATGCCCGTCGTGAAATCACAGAGCCTGGGTAGGCTGCAGGTGCCCCAGGACTGTGAGGCTGGGCGGGCTTTGGGTTTCAGAGCCTACCCAGGTGAAGGACAGGGCCTCCCCACAGTAAGTAACCTCTCAGACTAATGACCGGCCCCAGGATCTTCCTGTGGACAGGGCAGGCCTCTCCCACCTGCAGGAAGTACTTCACTAGGTTAAATCCAGGTTCAAAATGATAACACAAACAGCATCCCAACATGGGTGTTTCTGGTGCTTACAGGTTTACTATTATGCAGACGCTCAGATAATGCGCACAACCTATCCCAGCGGTTTGGACATCGTGCGGTTTCCTGACAAGCAGACAGGTGGGTGGTGCGTGGTTACATGCCGACTGAGTGAATACGAGGCGTAGCCACTCTATGTGCGAACATTAGATTTACCAGACATTGGAGCCTTTTATGCAAATTCTCCATGGCAGCAATTGTCCAGATAATTCGGGGTTTAAATTACTTAGTGAAAACCCAAGGATGCATTTGTTTTGGATTCTTATCAAGTAGCTCTGAATCCACTGCTCAGGTGTGGGGCTATAAATGCACTGAATGCCCAAGGAAATGCCATCAGAACTCGGTCTCTAGGTTTGTGCGTTCACTGTCTGCGCTGGATGGCTGAACACGATGAGCAAAATGCCGGACGAATGGCATTCCACACTTAGCTTTAAAGCTGCTTTTTCTCCAAAGCTGTCGAATTCTTTCTCAAGTACTAAGAATTCCATGTTCTCGTTAAACTTTGAGATTTTTGGTTTTGTGAATTTGCTTCATCTTCTAACAGTTTAATTTTATCTCTCATTGTGCTGAGTCCCTCTTTTTTCATATGAGTGATTTTCATGCCCTGCGAGAACCCGCTCTCTAAATGGGGCACCCTAGTTGGCGATTCTCCCATTTAGAGGGTACTCTGCTGTAGCATTCCCCCCAGCATCGCCACTGCCCCCCACCAGAATCCGAATGCGAATTTTGCCTCCGGAGTCAATTTTAGGAGAGTGCATATGAAAGTAGGTGGTATTCCCAGTGTCTCTGTGTCCGCCGTGGTCACCACCACTGTGTGCGTGTGAGATAGGAAGCATTCCCTCTTCCCCAGTTGCTGCCCTCTTGGTTGAAACAGACAGAGCCCTGATCCTGGCTGAGCTTTGTAATTCTCCAAAAGCCTGTGTACTTGGGCTGGCCTACTGCCGCGAGCAGGCCACCTCCTGACGCCTGAGCTGAGTACCTCCCAGAGCTGCCGTGTGCAGGAGGGCCTGGCTGCCAGTCTCCTTCTCGCCAAGCTGGCCTTCGCCGGGGCTGCCCCTCTGCAGGCCTTCCAGGCTGTGGGCTGTGCGCACAAAGGGTGGAGTTTCGATCAGAAAATTGGACGTTTTCACAGATGTCATCCTGAGACTGGGTTGCAGCACACTCACTGACATTCACAGCCACTGCCTTGGAAAACCCACTTATTGGCAGCTCTTCGGCCAGTGACATTAGCACCGAGGATGCTTGCCATGCAGAAGGCCGTAAGGTTTTGTTTTTGTTTTTTGTAACATGTTGTAATGAGTAAATGGAGTCATTCAGTTTAACTACACAGTGCTTATAGTTTTTACACAAGTCTTATTTATAAAGTAGGTTGAAAGAATGTTCTAGAAAATGAGTATTTTTTAAAAAATATTTTATTTATTTATTCATCTGACAGAGAGAGAGAGGAAGAGAGCACAAGCAGGGGGAGTAGTGGGCAGAGCGGCAGGCAGAGAGACGGCGCGCATGAGCAGGGGGAGCGGCGCAGGGAGAGGGAGAAGCAGACTCCCCACTGAGCAGGGAGCCCGATGCGGGACTCGATCCCAGGACCCCGGGATCATGACCCGAGCCCAAGGCAGACGCTTAACCGACTGAGTTGCCCAGGCGCCCCTACAAAATGAGTATTTGGATCTGGATTTCAGTCTTTGGTTTTCTTCCTCTACTTTAAGAAGTCTAACCATCATTGCAAAACAAAACAAAACAAAACGCCTCAATGCCAAGGGAGTCACTGTTCTCTTCACCGGAGTGACGTTGGGTAGGGGGTGTATAGTCAACCCGACAGGGGTACTGTTCGTAGGAGATCATTTCAAGGGTGCTGACCTGGGGACCACAGTCGGCCCGCCGTCGACTCCTCGCTGAGTGACCCCAGGCAGGCTGACATCTTTGTCTGCGTTTCATCATCGATTATCACGCAGAGCCCCTTCCTTGCTGCTAGGTCTGCACTCCAAGTGCTAACCTTCTCTTCCAGCCTCCGCAGTGGCTGAGGGTTTACATTTTAAGTGAGTTAGCACGTTCATCAGAATGCCAAGGAGATCTGCCAACTCCAGTCTGCTGTGTGAAAATTCCTTGCAGCTGATTTCCCATGAACTTTGGGGTGGCTTTCTGTCTTTTTGGCTCTGCAGCTTTATCTCTGCTCCCAGCCTCCGACATTCTCTACCTGGCTGTCTGCATTTGTGAAAAGCACTCTTCCCTTTGGGTTTTGTATTTTTGTGTTGTTTCCTGCCGCTTCCAGCAGCAAGAATGGTTAAATCTGGCTTTTCTTTGCACAGGAAAAAAATGTCGCTTCCTGATCTGGGGCCAGTTTGAAAATGGATCCCATGCTGGGCTGCACACTTCCTATGCAGCATTGCTAAATATCCTCCCTGACCCCTGTAAATAGTTTTGAAATTGCCTTTGGCCTGATAGGCAAGTCTGGAGAGAGGGTGAAATTCCAAAAGTGCCCCCAGCAGTGGCCAGGACAAGGGTCGAGTTTGCGAACAGCCACCAGCTGTCTCCGTTTAAAGATCAGCTTCCTTGTTTCATGCACAAGAGGGGGGCTCTTCCTTTCATTCCAAAGGCTTGTTGCTTTGCTCTCATGTCTTTAAACCACAAATGTGTTTCCTGCCGGTCAGGTGCCACACAGTGTTGTTTTTCTTTACGGATTCGTTTGGGTTGGGTCACTACTGTCCTCTGCTTTTCAAACCAAACATACTGAAGTTTAATAAAACCAAGACTTCCCCACATGAGGGGTGGGGTCCATTTCTCCAAATCTGTAACCCACAGAATCAAAACCACCTTCAGCATGAGCCATCCTGTTAAGCCACTAGCATGCAAATGACCTCCGTTCACACCCGAGTCTCCTTTTCTCAGGACCAGGTGGTTGGTTGCACTTTCTCTCCAAAGGAAGTGGGATTAACACCCCCAGGTCAGGTGTGTCAAGTATGGTGGGTGCTGCCTGTGAATCCCCAGCAGTGGGCAGGGCAGCCTCCAGGGCCAAAGGAGTGTCCTGTTCTGTAGGGGTGGTACAGGAGTGGGTCACCATGCACCACGGGCACGACAACCCAGTTCTGTCCGGCTGGTGTGATACCGGAAGTCAATCTGTCCTTTCCCCTTCTGTTTCAAGTTTGTTGATTTAACTTCCTCCTGTCAGTGGAAGGTGTATGTACCATATTCAGAAAACACGGTCTTCATGGGTCCAGTTTCTCTTCAATACCAACATATTCCGTGCCCTGCTCCTGGTGAGCTGCAGAGAAGGGACCTTCTCTAACTGCTGGGCATCACGTTCTGCATCTGTCCATTAGTGCAGACTTCAGCTGTGCTGTTCCGTTCGGTTATTTTTTGTTCAAAATTAAGAAAGATTATAGTTTATTTTAATGTAATTTCAGACTTCCGGACTCCTGTATGCCCTTTACCCAGACTCAGTTTTTCACTTTTTGCCATATTTGCTTTATCATTCTCTCTCTGTGTGTACACATGCATACATGTACATATTATATATATATGTGTGTATGTATATATATATATATATATATATAGACAATCACATTTTCTGACCCCCTAGAGGGTAAGCCGCACATATCAATACCCCTTTCACCATTCATATGAGATCAGGGCCCACCCTACTCTAGTGTGACCTCATCCCAACTTACTTTGTCTACAAAGACCCTATTTCCAGATGAGGTCGCCTTCTGAGGCACTGAGGGTTAGTACATCAATACAGGAATTTTGGGGGAACACAGTTCCACCTATAACATATCCCTAGAATTTCTTTTTATTTATTCTGCTTGGAATATGTGGTACTTCTTACACCTATGGATTTATATTTTTTCATCCACTCTAGAAGGTTCATAGCCATGACCTTTGACGATATTGCCATTCTTCTGAATTCTCATTTCTTCTTCTGGAACTCCTGGCCCATGTCCTTCTATATCGACTTCTCTGTCTCCTTGAGCATTCCCACCTACAGAACTCAGGGCTTCCACCTGGCCCATCGCCACCCTCCCCTGCCTCTCCAGGCTCTCCATCATCTGCTCATTTCTCCTTTTGTTTATTTAGGGAGGTGGTCCCTGGATCTTTGGTACATTTTCCACTGTGCCTCATAGACCTCTGAGGTCTAGTGTTAGGGAGTGAGAGCGGTCCCTCGAAGTTTCTAGCTAATGAAAGCTATATCCCTAGTGATTTAATAGTAAGAATCATAAGAATAGCTCTGAGTTACTGGTGCTCATTGTGTGGCCGGTGTTCTTCCAGGTGCTCTCCATCTGCACACGTAACCTTCAAAGAATCCAGTGCAATAGGTGCCCTCACTGTGCTCATCTTAGAGATGAGGAAGCTGAGAGCAGCAAGCTCAAGATCTGTCCGCACTCACGTATTGGCTTCCTTCGTGGTCTGGCTCCGGAGCCTGGGGTGAAATGGCTGTCCCTCAGGATCCCAGAAGTCAGGCATAACCTAACGCCTCCTCCAGAGTGTCATGCACATGCTCCTAGGTCTCTGTTTCATCTGTGGCTGTAGCCCCTCTCTCCTTCTTAATACCTCTTCCTTGACCAATTTTACAGAGGTCTTTGTGGTTATTATTTATTTCGAATTACTGATTTCTGGCTTTGTTGATGCGTTGTACTATAGCTTTCTTTTTTCTCTTTCACAAAGTAAAGCTTTGTATTTATCATGTTTTATGTTTGACTTTATTTCCTTTTTAAATTCTTAAGGTAAAGGGGTGCCTGGGTGGCGTGGTGGATTAAGTGACCGACTCTCGGTTTTGGCTCAGGTCTTGATCTCAGGGTCGTGAGCTCAAGCCCCGCATAGGGCTCTGAGCTCAGTATGGAGTCTGCTTGAGATTCTCTCTCCCTCTCCCTCTCCCTCTGCCCCTCCCTCTGGTGCTCTCTCTCTCTCTCTTTTAAAGTAAATACCTTAAAAAAGATTCTTAAGGCAGATATAAGTGCTCATTAATTTTTAGTTTTTGTTCCCTAATATGAACATTCCAGGCTATATATTCCCTCTCAGAACCTTTTTGATCATATGCCTCAAATTTTGTTAGCACTTATTTTTCTAATGCAGTTCTAAGTTTCTCT